CCTATATATATATAAGTGTGTGTGTGTGTGTGTTTAAGTGTGTGTGTGTGGTATCTTACGACATCCCTGTAGCTGTGCTCACATTGATTAAATTTATATATATATGGCATAATTTAAATAAATTGAGCTCGCCTGTTGGTCCGATACTCTGGCAAGTATTGCTCTGCATTCACTATTGATATATTTAATCTGAAGCATCACATAGACATTATGTGTACACTCGTCTGTATCACAAACTAAATCCATCAGTGTTTATATTTGTAATGCACAGGTTCCGTAACGCAAACAGTCTGTTGGTTCGTACCATTGGGTCGACATCTGCCAAAGTGAAGCCATTCGCTTGTGAATGGCCCAACTGTGGTCAGACATCTGCCAGTGCTGTCAATCTGAAGGTGCATATGCGTGTGCACACGGGCGAACGTCCCTATGCGTGCGACCATCCTGGGTGTGGGATGAAGTTTACTACAACTGGTAATCTGAAAGGACACAAACATGTGCACAGGGACGAACGTCCCTATGCGTGTGACTCTCCTGGGTGTGGCATGGGGTTTACTCAACGTGGGACTTTGGAAAGACACAAACGCGTGCACAGGGGCGAACGTCCCTATGCGTGTGACTATCCTGGGTGTAGCATGACGTTCACTGACAAGGGTACTATGAAAAGACACAAAAACGTGCACACGGGCGAACGTCCCTATGCGTGTGACTATCCTGGGTGTGGCATGGGGTTTACTCAACGTGGGACTTTGGAAAGACACAAACGCGTGCACACGGGCGAACGTCCCTATGCGTGTGACTATCCTGGGTGTGGCAAGAAGTTTAAGCAAAGCAGTAATTTGACAAAACACAAACGCATGCACTCGGGCGAACGTCCCTAAGAGAGTGACTTACCTGGGTGTGGCATGGAATTCAATACAATTCGCAGTCTGATATAAAACAAACGCGTGCACACGGGCGAACGTCCCTATGCGTGTGACTAGTACAAAGGTTAAACGTTCTGATGGTCTACGCCGCCATAGACGTGTTCACAGCTGTAAACACGACTCATCCGATTGAACACAAGGCGCTGCACAGATGGGGCTATTCAATGAACGCAGGCGACTGCGTTTGTCGCCATCACACGTTCATTCAAAAGATATTTATTTATACCCATGCCGTTGTAGCAATGCGCGATGCGTGTGTTCAAGCCAGAACCATGAAGTCTTCTATTGATATACCGTTTGAACTGTGCTGCAACTGTTGGTAGACTGGGGGTTGTACTGGGTGTGTTGCATACTCTATATAAAACCGTTAACGAGCAACCGTATTGTTGTTGTTGAGATCTTCCTTTGTCTCTAAATGCGTCACTGCCGGACCGCCTTAATCCGTTTACTACTTTTATTCTTGTAACTAATAAACGAATTAAGCACTGCTTCAATTGTTTGTATGCGAGCTTGAACACCTGCCGGCGAAATGTGGGCTCAACGGGGAGTGTTGCACAATCTATATGCAGTGGCTGCAATGAGAATTGATGCTTGTGTTGTTAAGGTTTCTCTTCTCTACAATGCGCTGTTAATGAGGTTAGAGAAGTATTTAGGTTAGTGCAAGTACACAATTACCTGGTCTATTTTGGTTCGTTTTGATCCATTGTTGGACCACTGTCAGACCCCTTTAATCCACTTACTGCGTATATTTGCGCGTATAATAAACCTATTTTTGGATCCTCGCATCATTTTTTCTCCTATTGAGCACAGCAAAATAGTTACGCTAGTGTCTATATATATATATATATATATATCCTATTGAGCACAGCAAAATAGTTACGCTAGTGTCTATATATATATCTATATATATATATCCTATTGAGCACAGCAAAATAGTTACGCTAGTGTCTATATATATATATATGTGTGTGTGTGTGTCGTGTGTGTGTGTGTGT